GCCCGAGGATACCACCCTCACCCTTGCCCCTGTATCCCGATGGCGCGCTCCTACGTGTAAGCGCGCACGCACACGCGAGAGGGAGCCACGTTTCTGCATTTGCATTCCCGACGCGAGAGGTGCGCGCACGCCGCCAAGACAGGAGGCATCGAATGTTAATTCAAGATACGTGAGAGTGTCGGGCTCGAGAAAAGGGGAGGGGAGAGAGAGAGAGAGAGAGAGAGAGAGAGAGAGAGAGGAAGAACAGGACCACGGTTAGGATTTCGCTACACCCCTCCCTCTCTCCGTACGTTTTTCATTTGAAAAAAAAAAAAGGGGGGGGGTAGGCCAATAGAGGGCTGCCTACCGATTTCGAGGGTGGGTGTGCGCGCACGGTGAAAGATGTAATCGGCGAGAAGATCGATACGATATAGAGCAAATATGACGGCGCGTTAACTGGGAACGCCGGGAGGAAGATTTCCCGATGACATCCCCCCTGGGAGCGGCAAAATGCCTCCGCGTCCCCTCTGTGTTCTTTATCGCCGTCCCGGAATGCTTGATAACGTTTGATTTGTTTCAATCGTAAATATCAAGACCGCGCAATATGCCTCCTCCTCCCTCTTCCACGGGGGATCGCCGCGTAGGTGGTGGTGGTCCACGGTGGCGTACGTGACGGCATTCCTCCGGCGCTGTCCTTCCGGCCGGCGATTATTAAACGTTCCATCCATCTCGAGCACGCACTCCTTCACCCCCGCGGTTAATTTTTATGCACGCGAGAGGAGCGTGGCCTTAAATCGTCGGTATACGAATGAGGACACTTGCCATACACGTTCTTTTCAATCGGGTTTCGGCGTATCCTTTAATTCGTCGCCCGAGGATACCACCCTCACCCTTGCCCCTGTATCCCGATGGCGCGCTCCTACGTGTAAGCGCGCACGCACACGCGAGAGGGAGCCACGTTTCTGCATTTGCATTCCCGACGCGAGAGGTGCGCGCACGCCGCCAAGACAGGAGGCATCGAATGTTTAATTCAAGATACGTGAGAGTGTCGGGCTCGAGAAAAAGGGGAGGGGAGAGAGAGAGAGAGAGAGAGAGAGAGAGAGAGAGCGGAAGAACAGGACCACGGTTAGGCACCGACAAAGAGGGAGAGAGAGAGGGGTAAAGGGCGGAGAGATACAGAAGTTGCGTGCGTATAAGCGGAATCTTGGAGAGAGAGAGGCGAAAGCGTAGGGTAGCAATTGATGGGACAGGGTGGCGCGTTTGTTGAGCTAATTACTGTAAGGCGAGGCGCTTACGCGCGCCGCTACATACAAACGGCATTAAAGGTGGTGGCCATCAATCCCCGTGGGTCCCCTTTTCCAGTCCTGGCAACTCGCCTCCTTCTATCCTCCGTCTCGTCCTTCCACGCGGCCCTTCCACGCGATACGAGATTCGAGGTATTAATTGGCGTGATCCTCGCATCCTCCTTCGAAAATTCAAGCGAGCAAGCAGCGGCGAGGATCGAAGGGAAAGATTATTTCGAGAAAGTTCTCGGGACGCGAGCCCCGTCATCCGGCAAAATCTAAGGTCGATATCGATCGATCCTTCGAAAATTCGTTTAAAAACGGGAGACTCGTAAGACGAAACGAAAGATTCTTTCGTCAGCGAAACCCTTTCCACTCGTATTTACATTTAACGAGATTACCAATCAAGCTCCATTACCAAAAATCCCTAGAATGTAGTAATTATATTTACTATGTTTATATTTATATTTACAATATACACACACGAGAATATTCTTCCTTTGCCCGTATTTGTATTTACCAATCGGAGGTAACAAAATTCCCTAGAATGCAATAGTATTTACCAAAAAGTGCCGAAAGGGGAAGGAAACGAGAAGAATATTAATCCTTTGCGCTCGTATTTATATTTATTAGATTACCATAATAAAATGTAGGATGGCGATATACGAGTACAAAGAATTAATTATCTATCCTCTTTCGAATCGTGCGTTCGTCAAAAAGAGCGAAAGGAAACGCTCGAGAATGTATTAATTATCCTTCTTCGAAAATTCACGGATAAAAGTGAAGACCTCGAAGACTCCATCGTTCACTGAAAGACGAAACGAAAGATTTCTTTCATTGTCCGTCCGTCAAAATGGAAAAGATGAGAATGTTAACTCGTATTTACATTTAACAAGATTACTCCAATCAAGCTCCATTACCAAAAATCCCTAAAATGTAATTGTATTTACTATGTACAATATACACACACGAGAATATTCTTCCTCGTATTTATATTTACCAATCGAGGTAACAAAATTCCCTAGAATGCAATTGGCGTATGGTGGCTATACGATAAAAAACAAAAAAAAAAAAAAATAAAAAGCGAGAAACGAAAGATTGTTCGTGAAAGTGGAAAAAGGCGAGGAAAGTTGAGCGGAGGGAAACGTTGGCTCGTGGGCGAGCGTTGGTCGCGAGGCGACATAAATAATCGGAGCCGATAATTAAGATGGCGTTTCGGCGCTTGTGCGTGTACGGGCCGACACCCGCTGTCTCTTCGCGACGTGGCATCGAGCTCACGCGTGTAGACACGCGAGCCCGTGTCCGAGCCATCCACCGGGGAAAATATATCGCCCGCCCTCGGCCCTCGACTCTCTTGCTGTTCGCTCTTCGCTGTTCCGCGGCTCGAACGACGCCATCCCCGCGAATCTCGGCCGAAATATCGCAAACGGTCCTCCCAGGTAAGCGGAGGGAGAAGAGGTGACAAAGGGGCGGGAGAAGAAAAAGAAAAGAGAGAGAGAGACGAGCCGACGGCCGAGTCTCTCCTCCTGTCACGCCTATAGAAAGTATTGCGTGGATTCATCTGGATAAACCTTGGCACGATCAATCACCTCGCGATTAACCCAACTTCGAGATTGAACGTCGTAATTTACACGTCGCTTTCTCGAGGATAAGATAAGCCACGAAACAAAACCTTTCACGTACGATCTTCCGTAAAGAAAGCCGCCGATCGTAGGCCGTTTTTCCTCCAACCAGCAGCTTCCAACGTGGCTGCTCCAATCGTCGGACGGGCGATATGTGCGATATGAATTCTCGTTTATTAACCGACTGAATAAACGACGCGGAGAGAAGAATCTCTCTCTCTCTCTCTCTTTCTCTGGTGGCAGTGACATAAGTTGGCGAGTGTAATTAGAGGAATAAAGTCCGCGGAATTTCGCGAGCCACGATCGTAAAGAGGACGAGTGTTCTGGCGTAACCCGAGGCAGCAACAGAGGCGGCAGAAGGGGCTGAAACGAGAAGGACTGAAGGTGGAGGAATGAAGGTGGGGGGGGGGGCGTCTCGGTGCCGACGTCGTCGTGCCAACCCCACGGGGCGCCAGCCTCGTTATATCTTCATTAAGCGGTGTACCTAACCATCCTGTCGCGACTTCTTAGCACTTTGCAGTTCACACTAATTTCGCTTTTACTTTTCTTCTACGTATCGGTTCCTTGTCCCCCCCCGCCCCCCTCCGTGATAAACCCCGCGATAAAGATGGGGAAAGGGACAGGCGGGCGGACATCCTACTTCCCGCTCTGCTTTTGTCCACCATCCGTTCTATTCGCCTCTGTTTATACGCGCCTCGCACGATATCTCTCCCCTTCTCACCCCTCGATAACTTCGTTTCGAGAACCCCTCCCCACCCTCCCCTTCTCCCCCCTTCGAATCATCGACGAAAGATGACGAAAGAGGACGAAAGAAGCCTTCGGTCGGTTGAAGGATAAAATCGGAGGAGTACGATGGTGGCAGGATTCTCGGGGAGAAGAGGGACGGGACGAGTTTCGCAAGAGATTTAAGCGCGATCCTTTGTCCGAAGAGTAACGCCCGCGAGTTTCGTGTCGTGGGGCAGGGCCAGGGGAAATTCCAAGTCCCCGAATCGCCGTAAGATCGGGACACGTCGTTATGGGTCCGCGCCGCCCCTCCCTCGCTCGGTTTGTTTCCGAGGAAGCGGGCAGAGGGGAGGCAGAGGGGAGCAAGAGCATCGGGATCGGCATCGGGATCGGCATCAGCATCGGCATCGGCATCGGTATCGGGGCGGAGGACCCGGGTCCACGGGCAGAAGGAGGACGCGGTCGTAAATATTCGGGCGCCAAATAATGCCGGTTCCGAGCGAGAGCAAGCGGCCACGACTGCTGCTCGACCCGTAATGAAGGACATCCTCGTTAATTAGTCAATAAATTATCCTTCGCGCTCACGACGCCCGTGCTGTCTCTCTCTCTCTCTCTCTCTCTCCTCTCTCCAGCCAAGATCTCGTCCTTTTTGCCCGGGAGAGCTCAAGGGCCGCATACTTTACGACACCTATCTCGCGCGACAGCACGATGCATTTCTCACAATCAGGACCCTCGAAGACGGAAACGCGTCTTGTAAGACGATCCACGAGGTGGTCCGCCGCTGGCTTTCAGCCACGATGAATTTTTCAACGACCGTTTCGTCCCGTTTCCTCCGCTCTTCCATCGCTTCTTTCATCACGCATCCCAATCGTCTTTCCTCTTTCCTCCGCGTTTGTCGAGAACAAGAACAATTGGGAATGATTGGGCGGAAAGGGATGGACACGTCCCGGGGAGATTAACACAGTTCCTTTGCGCAAAATTTCGTCCATCTTTATTCGGATAAATAACGCCGAAACGGTGACGTCTGAAAGCAGTTTGATCGCTTAAGAAGGAAACTTAACCTAACCTAAGTCGTACTTTACCTCGCGTCGTTTTTGTTAATATTAATGTCTTATTTACACTTTTTCGATTCGTATCTACGTATCAAATTGTAATAATTATATACACGAAATTTTACTTATAAAATTATCATTTTTAATTCTACGTGAAAATTATTTCTACGAGAGATAAAGATATATCCTTAAACTCGTATCTTTATGTATGTTGTACCTATGTGTATTTTCAAGCGTCTAGCTTGATGTTTTTTTTCGACTTATGACTTTTGCTTTGATCAGAGAACGTAGATACGATTTAAATCAAATTCAAAATCACTTTCTACCATATAGATATATTTTTAAATTCGTATCTATCGTATTTATATACTTCATGCTCATTTCGATATACGTCTTTTTCAATACATACGAAACCAATTAGAACCCTGTAAATGCGGGTTACGTCTATGTATCCATGATAATTTACGACGGATGAACTCGAACGAGATTCTCATAATATCTCAAAACTCGAAGGGATATAAAGATTCGATCGTATACGCGTCCGAAGTGCTTACGTACCGTGCCACGTGACCGTACATCACTTTAACTATTTCCTGGCGTGGTACAGGCCTACCGGTTCGCACGATCGCGAACAACGAGAGGCAACAACAACGCCACCAACGTCCAAGACTAACGCGCGCATCCGTGCGCTATGCCGGGTGCATCGGGGATAATTCAACGATACTCCCGCGAGCAATCGTCGATCCGAAAGATATATTTGAAAGACGTTGCCGCGGTGTTTCGAAGTGAACCGTTGCGGGTCGCCTTTTACCAATTTTAAGACGCACGTGCCGTCGTAAATTTCCAACGTTCCATCGGGGAAACGAACGATCGAACCCGATTAATTCGGCTCGTCGACGAAATCCGTGCTCCGATGGACTTTAAAAATTCCGATAACGTAGTCGTTCGCGTGGCTAGGCGTAGAAAACGTGTCACTGTGCACTTCCAACAAATGGGCGCGAAGTTCTTTCGCGAAATTTGTCCGAAATGGTTCCGGGTTGTCTCCCGGGCAAACGTCGCATTCGTAAATCGTCTTCCCTGGATGCAGATTCGTGGACAACACGTGCTTTCTAAGATTCTCCTGGAACAGAAACGAAAAAATGACGGTGTTAGTCGAATGAACGATGAACGATGTATAGATGGCGTTACAGCACAGGAAAAGAAACGGCAGCCTTCAGTTCGTGACGAGTCGCGGTCAGAAATGTAGAAAGATATCAAAGACGTCGTTCATTTTGAATAACTTCTTCTTATAATAATCGGCAATCTCTTATAATTTTTTAGACATTTGAAGGAAAAGATTGTTATACGTGTTATAAATATTAATTTGTTCAATCTCACACCTAAGAAGTAAGTATATCGCATTTAATAAAAAAATTAAATTTTCTCTATTTTCTCTATTGTACTATCTTTTTTCAGTGATACGGTTTGCAAAAAATTCATATTTCATATCGATTCGTATAAGAATCATTCGTCACATTATTTAATTTATTATATAAATAAAAAATCTCTTTTCGCTTCGAATTTCATAATACTTGTATATTCTATATTTTAGGTTAGATTAGGTTAAGTTACTCAACGCTAGACCAGCCAATTTAATCAATTTTCTACATACTCACAGTGACAACAATAAAAATGTACAACATGTGTATAAATAACCACTCCTAAATAAAGCATTACACTCGTTTGATGTTGAGATCAGTGCAAAACAATGAATATCTGCCAAACTGTCATGCTATTGCCACACCTACTCATCTCGTACGTTACGTTACGTGTTTAGACGTGTTCCGACGTGGATAGAAGATCCAAATCGAATCGTAGTTGGATGTCAAGCAAGCGAGAAAGGATTGTGCGTGAACGAGAGCGTAAGAAAATGCGGAGGAGAAGAAGGAAGAGGTGGGTGGTGAATACGCGACACTCGGAGAGTGAGGACATTGGAGATTGGAGAAGGCGAGCCGGTATTGGGGAACGGTCAGGATGGTCGGAAACAGGGTTTCGTTGGTATCGGTCGGCGGTGAATACCTGGGACCAGAATCGGTCTGCCGCAAACCGGACGCGTTCATTGGCTATGCCATGGAGCATTTAAAGGCGCTTTACCCTCTCGGGCTAAGTAGCTGGCCGTAGTCGTAAACATCTTCCTACCAGGCGGGCTTATACGAGCCGTTGATGGCAACGGCAACATCAAATTTAATTTCCCATAAGTAAATCTTTCTGCACGGCCAGCGCTCCGTGACGGTCTCGGATAAAGACCCGTTCACACCGTCATGGGCGGTCGTCCACCTTTTACGCGAAATCATTCCAACCAAGTGGAAAGTGTGCAACCGTCACGCGAATCGCCCGTTCGTACACTTTTCATTAATCGGATCGATTTCTTTCTGATATAATTTTACATCCATGCCGTAAACATGGTATAACTCGGTAACCGTAGAATATTCGATTTTACGAGGCTCCGCTCTAGGATTTCAAATCGCGCTGCTTTTTAACTTTTCTCCTCTTTATTTCTTTCAGGATTCCAGTCCGGGGTAATATTAATTTTCTTCTACCCGTGGACCACTACTGTGCACGTAACACGAACGTAAATGTTCCCACGTAATGTACACACGTATAACATAATACTGGTATGAAAATTATCGAATATACGGAAAAAAAATCCGATATTCTCTTGGCCGGCCGCTGACCGAAGAGGATTGTAAAATTATAAGCGCAAACTGCCAGGATCTTTAACCCATGTCAAGATTTTTATCGATGAGATATCGAATCGGCGGGCGTTTCCACATTTTAACCGATAACTAATAAATTCCGGTGGACGCTTATTCCGTTTCGTATCCGAGTTTGTCGAGAACCATCCCTCCGGTTAAATTTTCGCCCAAGATCGCGGATAAATCGATCGTATCGCTCTCATTGGATCGGCTACCGTTTCATTTTTATTATTTTTCGCTGTTTACGCAGGACGGAGACCACCTAGAAGGAGAGGAAATTAAGGAGCAATAGTGGGAAAAAGAAAAAGAAAAAAGAGATGCGTAGAAACAGATCCGAGAGTGTAAATAATATTGGCCTTCGAGAATTATCGCCATCATTGTCACGGTAGTGTGAGTGAGTTTTCCTAACTCTAACACGAGTGGAGAGAAAAGGAGAATGACATGTTGGACAAGAGAACAAAAAGCTGTGTACGGACAAGGATGACAAGAGGAAAGAAGGAGCGTGTAGTCATCCGAGGTAAATCATAAACTGGATGGATGTAGGAAGGAAGGAAGGAAGGAAGGAAGGAAGGAAAGTGGAAAGATGGCACGTGTAATCTCGTTTACGCAAGGCAACCCACTCGTGGAAGAAGGGAATTTCGTCGTTGAAGCTATTCGCGCGTTCTTTATCAAAAGTCTCGTCGAATAAACGATCATTGGTCATTGTGGACCATTCTTGTGTTGTTCTTCACTTAATCTTTGATATATGATTATTTGAATGGATGTAATCCTCTGCGAATATGCATTTGAGACTAAATCATATTGAGAGAATTATTTTTCATTAATTATAATACTATGTTAAGAGCGAAAGAGTTATTAATTGGAAAAAATGTTTTCACTTTCAAACGTATATGCATTTTAAAACTTGTTCATGTGATTTCGTATCTTTCATATCTTTATTGAAAGTTAAAAGCGATCTTAGAAATTTTGTCGATCCATGTAATGATGTATTAAATGAACGTTCATTAAAATTCATTAAAAATGTTAATGCGATGTTAAATTACATAACACGTTCAACACGTTTCTAGAATCATAAATTCTAGATATTAGTATTGATTAATGAAAATTAATGAAAAAATAAAATAAATTATAATTATACATAAACATAAACTATCTATGTATTTTGAAAAAAAGAGAGATAATTAAAAGTTAATCAATATCTTGTAAAATATATAACTTATCATATAACTAATGTCAAGTAAAGTTAAAAAAGTAAATGAAAAATATGTAAGCAACGATAAATAAATGTTTTAAAAAGTTAATTCACATTTTTTATTGTTAAAATGTAAATTCGAAGCGAAACTTTTCTTGCTCTTCCTCATCAAAATCAAAATGAAGTTGATAAAGTTTAATTTCTAATCAATTTTCAATAGAAATCCTTTCTCAATTGATTCAATTTATAATTTTTTTCCCCCGTGATTTATTATATTTAAATTTTTCTCAAAAAATTTGCGAATACACGCAATATTTACACTCAACTCTCGTATTAATTTAGTATTTTTAATTTTAAAAAATTCTTCTTTTCATATCATATGAATCTAATTTTTCATTCCGTTTCGATGAAAAAACCGCTCGAATTCATCGTTCGAATCGGCCATTATTAACGTAGCGATCCAAGTCCAATTGGCGTTGATCGTAATCGATTCAACCGCGAAGAACGAAAACAGGTTAAAACGAGCCCAGAAGGCCTCGTCATCTTTCGTACAGTTATGCACAGCGACTTGGTACGATTCAGAAGTGCCTACCGCCTGTATCATTACCGATGCAAGACGTACCATTCGCAATTCTCCGTACCGCGAGATTACCTTGGCTCAAGTTATCCCGGCGGCTGAGAGCCACTGGAATGAGTTTATGTCGCTATCAAAGAGACACGGAGCCCTCGTATGCGAGTCGCATCCTAACTAAAGCTTCAAAGGGCATTAGCATACCGGCCGCTCGGTATGACTGGGCCGTGCGTGTGTGGGCATCCAGTGAGCACAATTAACTCGTTATCTTATCGCGCCTCGGTGGCGGCAGAGGCGGCGGCATGGTCCAAACGTTAAGGTGTACTTTGCTTAATTTACGCCGCGGAGTCACCGCGGGTACAAAAATTGAACTGCGAGTCAACCTCCGCTTGTACACCGTATAATAGAGCGGAATACAAGACCGATATATATTTTCCCCCGATTCGATCTTTGCTCGTCGCATCCGGGCCAACCTACGACGAGCATTTCGTCCTCCTTATTTATACTCGCCTCGATTATATATTCGACTCGACTTACCAAATTGTTGCTCGCGTAAGGGCAATGGCGACACTTGTACGGCTTCGTGCCCGTGTGGAGGCGCACGTGTCGTTGCAAATGAGAGGCGATCTTCGTTCGAAAAGCGCATCCAGCGTATGGACACGGGCGAAGATCCGATTTCGCGGCGTTCTCCGCTCCCTCGTGGCGTGCACGGTGGCTGGAAAAAACGGAATTTAAAAATTTTCCTACGGACGGCCATACGTCGATACGAAAGGGCAAAATTTTAAACGTCTTGTAACGGCGGAAAGTTCATCGTCGTATCAGGGCCGATGATTACGGGCGACGCGATATGCGTGCGCGTTATTACGAGGGAGCCATTGGCCATGGTTACGTGTATATCAGGTTCGAAATGCGTGACACGTTTAATTAAAATCCTCTGTGATTTACTCCGCCGCACAGAGCGAGACCGAGAGAGAGAGAGAGAGAGAGAGAGAGAGAGAGGACGGGAGCGNGGCGGCG